CTGCAGGCAGAAGCCACAGGGGCTGCCCCAGGTCCTGCTCCCAGGGGATAGAGCGCAGGACAAGCGTTTCAAAAGCGCCACACCTGAAGAGACAAGTAGGTACCCTTGGGGATCTTCGGAAGCAGTGCAGGCACTTGAGGTGCTGTTCAGGATCCTCCAGGCACCTGAGGGCATGAGGAGCCCGTCCCACAGCCTCTGGAGCTCTGCGATGGGGGTGAAGAGCCCAGAGCACCTCCTGGTCCTGGTGTCAAGGGACAGACCTTGACGGTGGCCAGTGCAGCACCACAGTGGCAGCAGTTTTCCTGGGAGCTGAGGGCCTGGGCTCTGAACACAGTCTGCATATTGCAGAAAGGACAAAGTGGAAACAGGGGCTGCCTCGTGCTGCACCCAGGCCTGGAATGAAGAAGCTCAGGAGGGTCCTGGCAGGCTGGGGGAGCCTTGCTGCTCTTCACGCTGCTAGGCTTGGCTCTGCCCGGGGTGGCTTGCTTGGGGTGGGAGCAAGAGAATGCACAGGTCAAGATGCCCTCGTGGGTGGCTGCTGGCACAGAGGGCTCGGGGATCCCCCCAGCCCAGTGGCTCCATGGGAGGGGAGGAGCAGACAGCAGAGATGCTCTGCCAGGCTTCGGGATGCGGATCCTCCTTTCTGCTCGGTCTCAGTCCATGCGCTGCCCCATGGTGCAGGGATGTGGGATCCAGACACATGTCCGTCCCTGGGAGCTGGGGTCCACTGCCGCCATCCTGCTGCAGTGCTGCATGTTGCAACGACACTGTGCCTTCTGGCTCTCCCGCTCTCTGGGTCGAGAGCCGAGCGTGGGGGGGAAAGGAAAGGAGGGGCCACACAGGGGTTTCCCCCTACCTTAATTCTGCCTGGGGCATTAACAGAGGGGAGAGAGGAGGGAAGGGGAAAACTTGGATCCTGGGTGCTGGGTGGGGGTGAAAGAGCTGCACAGCTCCCAGCACTTTGGTGAGGTCTGGGGGAGGAGGGACTTGCAGAGCAAACAGGGTTTCCCTTCGCAGGTGTGCCAACTCTGACATGCAGCCCAGCCCTGGCACACGCAGGCATGCGCCGCACAAGAAGGCAACC